GAAGTGTTTTTGGCGTTGTTTTTGGCGTGGTTCCTCACCAGCGTGGCGAGCCCCAGCCCCAGCAGCAGGGTGAGGCTGCAGAGCGCCCCCTGCAGGTCGAGCAGGACGTTGCTGCCGTTTCCGGGCACACAGTCGGAGAACAGGGTGAAGGGCAAACCGTAAAACGACGAGAAGCCGTGAAGGTTCGGGTGGTGACAGTGATCGTCACGACGCTCGCAGCTCACGCCCTGGTGCCACTTACCTGCACAAAAACACACAAAGAACACACATAAACACACAAAAACACACATACAAACACACAAATAAACACAAACACACAAAAACACACACATAAACATACAAATAAACACATAAACACACAAAAACACACACACAAACACACATAAACACACAAAAACACACACACAAACACACAAATAAACACATAAACACACAAAAACACACACAAACACACACATAAACACACAAAAACACACACACAAACACACAAATAAACACATAAACACACAAAAACACACACAAACACACACATAAAAACACACACACAAAAAACACACACAAACACACACACAACATAAACACATAAACACATAAACACACAAAAACACACACATAAACACACAAATAAACACATATAAAACACACAAAAACACACACACACAAATAAACACATAAACACACAAAAACACACACATAAACACACAAACACACAAAAACACATAAACACACAAACACAACACACACAATAAACACATAAACACACAAAAACACACACACAAACACACAAATAAACACATAAACACACAAAAACACACACACAAACACACAAATAAACACATAAACACACAAAAACACACACACACATAAACACACAAATAAACACATAAACACACAAAAACACACAACACAAACACACAAACACACAAAAACACACACACAAACACACAAAACACACATAAACACACAAAAACACACACATAAACACACATATAAACACACAAACACACAAAAACACACACACAAACACACAAATAAACACATAAACACACAAAACACACACACAAACAAAGACATAAACACACAAAAACACACACAAACACACACACACACACACAAACACACAAATAAACACAAACACACAAAAACACACACAAACACACAAATAAACACACAAAAACACACACACAAACACACAAATAAAACACACACATAAACACACACAAACACATAAACACACAAAACACACACACAAACACACAAATAAACACATAAAAAACACATAAACACACACAACACACAAAAACACACACATAAACACACAACACACACAAACACACAAAAACACACACATAAACACACACACAAACACACATAAAACACACAAAACACATAAACACACACAAAAACACATAAACACACACAAAACACACAAATAACACACAAAAACACACAAACAACACACAAAAAACACACAAAAACACACACATAAACACACATAAAACACACACACACATAAACACATAAACACACAACACACACAAAAACAACACACAAAAACACACAAAATAAACACATAACACACACAAAACACACACACAAACACACAAATAAACACACATAAACACAAAACACACACACACAAAAACACACAAAACACACAAACACACAAATAAACACAAACACACAAAAACACACACAAACACACAAATAAACACACAAAAACACACACACAAACACACAAACACACAAATAAACACATAAACACACAAAAACACACACATAAACACACAAAAACAAAAACACACACAAACACACAAATAAACACACAAAAACACACACACAAACACACAAATAAACACACACACAAACACACAAATAAACACATAAACACACACAAATACACAAATAAACACATAAACACACAAAAACACACACAAACACACAAAAACACACACAAACACACAAATAAACACATAAACACACAAATAAACACACACAATAACACACAAATACACACTCAAAAACACACAAATAAACAGGTGGAGATAGGGGGTAGGTGAAAACACATTTGTTGGAGCATTCAAGCCTCAAATGCAGTGATCCCAGTGTCTTTTTTACTATTTTTATTGCTACTTATTTAGAAGTTTATTACCATTTGTTATATTTTTATTCTTTGTTATTATAAAATAATGTGTGTGACCTGCTGTGTCCAAATCATTTCCCTGGTGGATGAATAAAGTCTGACTAAATCTAAAGCTGTGTTCAGACCAGAGCGTCCAGTTCACCTTCTGCAGGTTCTACAGACGCACACAGACTGAGTCCATGTGAACATGTGTCCAGAGCGTCCTGTGTTTCTGCGGTTCATCTTCAGGAGTCTTCCGGCGTCTTCAGGCGTCTTCCGGCGTCTTCAGGCAGTCTTCAGGAGTCTTCAGGAGTCTTCAGGCGTCTTCAGGCGTCTTCAGGAGTCTTCAGGAGTCTTCAGGCGTCTTCAGGCGTCTTC